ACAAACCGGCTTTTCGAGAGTGCATTTTAGCATCTCGGGCTGGTTTGCCAACTCCTTTTCCCTGTTCTTTTTCCCGAGATCAGGGTTGGTGACGGGTGCGCGGGTCTTCTGCGCACGTTCAGGGACCTTCGATCCCTTCGGGGGTACCTTCTTGGTAGCCCCCTTAGAGGTCGAAGGTATGTCGGTAGGCGGGGTCTTCTTGACCGCCGCGACCGGACCGGACGACGAGGGGATCATGGCGATCTCTGGCCGCCGCGGGGGAGATTTCTTCCCCGCAACGACGGTCCAGTCGCCAGATTCATCCTCGCCCCCCTCACTTGATTTAGCGGAGGTGGTAGCCGCGGCCTCTCCGGCGGATAATTTCCGTTCGGAACCGGCTCGACGGCGTGACTGAAGCTCAAGAGCATCAGCCACTGTGGTATCCACATACCAGCTTCGCCGAATCTCCTCTTCGGGAATTATCCCGATACCGAGCAGGTAAGAACGATCCTTAGGCAACGATTTAAGTTGCTGCGGGGTCATCTTACCTATAAACTCCTTCAAGTTCGTGATCGATTTCACGAATTTGTTGTAGACTATGCGACGATCTACGTCCTTAGTCCGCTTAAAGGAGTTTACGCACGCGCTGAGGACCTTCCTTCGCAGGACCCGGGTGTCATTCGACTCCCGAGACTCCGCGCGAGAAGGCTTCTTGGCCTGCGCTACAGCCTGTCGTGAAGACCGGCGGCTCGGCTTTGGCATTGCCGAGGATGATCGCTGCCTGCGGACCACGTCAGCAAACGTTGTTTGCTGAATGGTGGTTACCGCGAGAGCGGCTGGTGTTCTCAGGCGACGGGGAACTTCCCCTAACGACCTGAGGACAGCCGTGACCGTTGCGATAAAATCGCCAGCGGTCATCCTGTCTAGTGCACCTGGACTATCATGGCAAATCGATTTTGCCACGGAGTCCAGGGACGATGCCAAAAGGATCGGAGACACGATGTCTGGGAGAGGGGCGCCAATTGGCGCGTTCTCTCGCTCAGATGGTTCGTGAACCGAATCCTTCTGTTCGACGCTCTCAGATATTATCTGAGCTGCTTCCATTGTGAAGGACTGCAGAGTAGCAATTGCTGGTTCTGCGGTTGGCAATTGCCGTGGGCAGTCCGGCTCCCGTGGTACCAGTCAAAATATCACTGGTCGGATGTTCGAGGACGCAGCCTCTCTCATGTATGATGCCCCACAACACCCGGCACTGGTTAGCCAGCGCATCGGGTAACTCGGGGTCGCTAAGCCCGTACTACAGCCCTCTGCAGCCCCTGAGAGGCGTGCCGGCGGACAGTGGGAATGGTGTTCTTAAGTGATCCTAGTAGCACTGGAAAAAGTTTTATTATTGAAAACTTAGTTTCATGGAACAAGACGTGACGTTAACAAACGTTGATTTAAGTATTATTGACGAAATATCAACGGTATCAAATGTTGTGTTCATATACGTTCATTTACGCTTGACAGAAATATTTGACACGTCAGACTCCGATGACGGGTTTTTTGGGAAAATAAATGTCGTTGTTTTTGGTGACTTGCTTCAACTTCCGCCTATTCACGAACGTTTTCCATTCGTAGAAATGAGCCAAGAGCAAATGAATAAATGTATAGGAGGAATAAATGCTTTCAATTTATGGGGGTTATTTACATACGACGAATTAATAATTATTATGAGACAAAAAGATGATAATATGTACGCCGAAATCCTTTCTCGTATTCGACTTAGTCTACTAACATCTTCTGATGCAGAGATTCTGCGCGTAGAAGCTTGTGTAATAGACCTCGAGAAAGCGTTCGACACAATTTGGCTTGACGGTCTCCTATACAAACTAAATAAATTTGACTTCCCGCAACCCCTAATAAAGATTATTTGGAGCATGACGAAAGACAGGAAATTTATTATAGCAGACGGGTTAACAAGAGCTTTTAAAACCGTCATAATTAAAAACGGCCTACAGCGAAGCCTAGTCTATTCCCGACTCCACTTCAGTCTCTATACAACAGCACTACTTTATCTCTTCAATCTCAACCACAGATACAGTAATAGAAAAGGCCTAGCCTTCGCAGACGATTTGATAGTTTATTACGAAGACCCCAAACCCACTACAATACAACAAGAACTCCAAGACCTATTCGAAAAAAAAATTAACACATACTTCCGCACCTGGAAACTAAAAATTAATACACAAAAATGTGAAACCATCCTCTTCAGACCATTATTCAAAAACGCTAATTACAACACCCGCCACAACTGGAAAAAGTTCAATTCAAATGAAAACAGAATCTCTCAATCCTTAATCCTACACAAACAATCTGGAATATACCTGGGCGTAACCCTTGACTCCCAATTCCACAGTCACATAGATTTCCAGCTTGTAAAGGCAGAGCAAGCTTCCAATAGCCTCTCCAAATTATTTTACTCTGTCCACCTTAACAAAAAAATGTAAGATACTTTGTTATAAACTTTTAATTAGACCCATAATCACATATGCCTGTCTCATTTGGTACAACATGCCGAACTACAGAATGTAAAAGATCAGAATTTTCAAAAGGCAATGCCTCAGAGCCTGCTTAGGTATGCACAAGACAAAAGAATCCAACTATAAAAGACACTTCAAAAATGCTACCCTCCTCAATGCAGCGAACAATTCAAGAATTAATGTCTAAATCATAAAAATCTGTAAAAATTACTTTTCCAAAATAAAAAATAACTAATTAACCCTAGATCTATTAGACATTATCTACATCACTAAGACCTTAAGCACAGGCTTCATAAATGCGGAAATGTTTTCATTCTTAGACGCCAACGGTCTAATCTCTAACACTAGCAACATCCCAATCATTTACCACACCCGAAGAGATAATAGTCTTAAAGTCTTAAAAATTAATTACTGATGCATGTGTAGAACAAGCTTTGTAAATTTATGCCTCACAAATTTCTCCTTCTGGCATATAAGTTCTAATTGATGATGCACCCGGATTTTTAAATATTTTTCTGCAATTGTTCTTATAAGTTTAGTTGTGTGGTCATAATTTACGATTGACGTAGTTCAAGTAACAACAAGACTTTTTGAACATGCGCAATTCGATAATGAAAGTAGGTAGAACGCGAATGATATGAAAATGCTTTCAACACGGTGATCTATATTTGCAGAAAATACATCATTCATACAGTTTACTAGATCGTCTTCGTAAAGTGGTTATCGAGTTTTAACAAGGTTTTACCAGAAACTGTATTAGTATTAATAAGAACGTAGTGATGCTGCACACAGCTTGAAAAAATATG